ATTCTTGTAAAATTAATTTATTCTATCCATTTCTACCTTTTAATTGTGTGTATTAATTTTCTTCCTTAATTATCTACCCATTGACATTTTGACACTGGTTAATTGTTGTTAACAAACATATCGCCACGTGTTTGGTAAATTGTTGTGTATTGTAAAAAATGCTATATATATTAGAGTAGAGCCATAGAAGAGGATCTAATTGAAAAGTAAATATTTCTTCGCTCAGTCTTTCTGTTTTCTCAGATATATTATAATCTGGATATTGTGGTTTGATGCAACCAACCTCACTGGCGGCTACATCAATATCCATGGAGTTGTAAATGAAATTCGTCTCATTTTTCTTGCATCCCTGACAAATATGTTAGACAGAAATCGTTGCCTATCGTTTCGGTCTCCTACTGGGCATTGGCAATGTATAATCGTCCATGTCTACCTTCTTGATGCCTTGACCATAGCTCTCAAAGCTGTATACTTCTTTGACTATCTTCAACCTATCTAGAAGGGTGATGATGAAGTAATCCGACTTGCCGAATTCCTGTAGTCGAGAGGACTTCACAACTGTACTTTTCATTCAGTACACGTGTTCAACATAATGCTGAGCTGCCTGCTTAGTCACAGCGTAGCTACAGTGCACGGACTGTCTTATCTTTCGCATACAGAATTCGAAGAGAAATGCACTGAATTCTTCTAGTGGCCCATGCAGCTTGACGTCATGCGCTATATGTTTCAGAGAATGTATATTGTAAACAATATGTTCACTTCCGAAACAATTCTCATATTGCAGTAAGAAATTACTCCAATCTGTCCGAGCAACATCCAAAAACAGCCGGTTGTATCTGGTACTCAAAAGTAAGTACACTGCCAGGGATAATCTCCTGAAATTAGCGTACAGGTGGCATGGCAGAGTGTTCCTGGGTAGGACAGGACCTAAATACAGTAGCATAAGTCTTGTTGCAGAATGTTGAAAACCCTTATCTAACACAATATCTGAGTTGTTTTCTTTATAATAGAAATGGACAAATACACACCCAAAATCTAACTCACCTGCATGATTTATAAATCCTGTGAGAATGGTCTCTGTATGTAAGGAGTACCGCTTATATACTTCTAGGCAAATATCTGTTTTTTAAATATGAAAAGGGATGACAGGTAAACTGTAATCACAACACTTTACTTACAGTAAGTATGTTTTCATCTGTGAATCAACGCATCCGCCCCCCCATCCCACCTTGTTTCGTTTCGATCCCCAAGGTTTTAATATATGACCTCGTAAACAGTGCCCAGCAATCGAAACTATTTACATTCTACTTATGACAGGTATCCTTTTTCATCTGTGGGATTTCAGTCCCCCTCCCACCCCAAGTTCTTTTTGAATTTTTTTTATTTCATATGTCGTTATATTTCATTCATGATAAGTATATGTTTTCATCTTTTGCAGTTAACCCACTCTTTTTTCTAATTTTTTTGGATTTTTCAGTCGTGAGCCCGTCATAAATGAACCGTCATCAATAATTCTTAAATATAAATCATGACAAATGTATCCGCCCACCTAAAGTTCGCGGTACGTCCAACGTTTGCGTTACATTTTTGCGTGATTCGTTACATAAAATTTATCTTGTTGTAATCCTTGCACAAGTACTCTACTACCTCCATACCTATAACTATTAACCCTCATATCAAATAGTTATGGTTAACCAAAGTAAAAAGCAAAGAACTCAATCCCCTGTAAAACTGATGACTAATTATAAGTCGCTGATTGCTACATCAAGCAACACACTCCCTACAGGTGGTCATAGTGAGCCACATAACCCACTTGTATGTCGTAAGCGTCGAGCTGAATCGGAGGATAAAACTTTACTGACAACTAGTATTAGCACTACTCCCAAAAATTCAGTACCCTCTGCTCATACAGAAACCCTCCCTACACCTTATGTGCTTATCGAAAAGCTCCAGCCTTCAAGCTCTGTTTCAGAACTAT